GTATGAGATAAAGCCGAAAGCAATCTATGAGACACCAGAAGGGATCAAACTTGTTGATATCACTATATATATATATATATATATATATATATATATATATATATATATATATATATATATATATATATATATATATATATATATATATATATTGATGTTGTATATATAGAACATAGAATATGTTTTGAAGGGAAACTATGGCAGGTATCGCCATCCTATTGTTGATAACGATGAAAGAAAAAAGTTTACAATTCTAGAATTTAGGGTTGTTAGGAGACCTTTTATAGATAGTGTATGTGCCCATGAGGTAAGATGTTGTTTTCGTGTGCCGTTCGGTGGTTATATATGTGAATATGTGACCACATGGCAATGTTGTTGGCGCAATGCCTTAGTACGCGCAGTGTGGAGTCATTGGTGGAGTTGAAGATGTCTTGATGCTTTAAGTTGTTTGAAATGGTGGCTAGACCTGTGGAGGGCTGGTTTTTTACATGATGGTTGGAGGTCCCAGAGGTCTTTGATCTGCGGTTGGGAGGCGACCAATTGGTCACCGAGTCCTAGCAAGAGCCAAATTGTCGCAAGCATTGGAGGAAGAGGTGCTCAACGTTCTTGTCGTAGGGGCAGAAGGCTAAAATGGGCTGCGTGTTGAGGTCACCTGTACTCACCTTACTTGTGTAGGTGTAGGTCCACTCACTTGTGTGCGGTCAATAGTAAGAGTTTGCACTTGGTTTGGCCTTAGTTTTCCCATATTGGCTTCCAGAAATTGTCTCGGTGGCCTCCTTGGCTCCTGATCTCTTCCTCGATGTGCCCCCGCATCTCCAGGGTTCCTGCACGGTTGCTTCCGGCCTAGCGAACAACTCCTGGATTTGTGACATCCACGGTGCTCTCACGGTCCCGGTTCCTTCTAGTTTAGGATGCGGTGCTTCCTACCCAGCTCTCGCTTGGTGTTGTGGATCGACTTGTTTGTCGTTAGACGAGTGACCAATGTTACTCAGCGCGCTCGGCGTACTGAGCGTTCTTCCTTGGCCAGCACTACTTTGCTTGTGCTAATCTGCTCTAGCACATGAAGGGCCCTGCTATATGCAAATTCTTTCTTTGGTTTGCATTTTAGTAGCGCTGCTGGATGACTGATCTTCTTCAGAAACGTGGTATCAATAGGCACTCTGAGTGTCCCTTTTGCTCTCAGGATCTTGAGACGGCGAACCACATCCTCCTCGACTGTGTGTTCTCTCGGCAGATCTAGCACCGTGTGCTATCGCCCGGCTGGGCTGCCCTCTCCCCCCTCCCCCCCCCTCCCCCCCCGCGTGGCAGCTCACTGCAGGTTTGGTGTCCGTTTACTAGGTCCTGCTTACCTGAGTATCTTCACGCCGGCTTCGACTCTCTGGTTCTCCTGGTCTCTTGGTAGCTGTGGAAGGAGCGAAACTCTAGGGTTTTCGACTCGGCACTCTCCTCGGTCTTCGTGGTACTAGAGTCCGTCCTCTCGGAGGGTCATCTATGGTCTTCCGCCGGCTTTGCTACTTTTGAGGATTTTTTGGGAGTGTAGTGTGGCTCCGCCTTCACCCTCTCGCAATTTGGAGTAGCTTTTGTTCACAGTAGTTTACCTTTCTTTTACTTAGCTGCAGCTCTTGTTCTTGTTTTTTTTTTGTTTTCTTCCCTTCCGTGGCATAGGCTTGTCTAACCGGTTGCGTTGGGTAACAAAAACTCTTTTTATGCTAATATATTGACGTGTAATCCTTTTGCACGTTCGTGAAAAAATGTTTAGAGAAATTGAGTTCGTACGCCATGGCACTCAAGGGCAGTTTGCAGGTGTTTGCAGGTGATGTCTAGAGGTTCGGTGCCTCTATATTCAGTGTGACTGTGTGAGTGTGACCACTGCAATGGTGAAACGAATGGAGGTCTAGTTCAGGGATGTAACTGCATCCGCGACTGAGACATTGGGGCGGATTGCGTGTGAATAAAGGGTGAGGAGAATTTGGGCGATGGGGTGATCGCTGACCCAAGTGTCATGCTAGAAGATGGTGAGAACCGGCCATTGCCGACCAGATATTTGGAGATGCGGCGTAACTCCGGAGACAGGAGTCTATATCCAAGATTGCGAGTTTTAGACCCGCCATAGTGGTGTCTGAAACAGTTTATCCACGGCACCGTGCCTACATCGTGCCTTTTTAGTAGGAAATTTTGGAGAAGGCAGCGGTTTTGGACTTGTAAATTTTTAACACCGACGGCTTCCTTTGATTTTGGGGAACAATCCAAATCCCAAGCTACCTTGCAATTGCCACAACGGCAGTGCTTCTCTCCTGTCCAATAGGACACCTTTCGTCGTTTGTCAATAGCATCAATTGTACCTTGGGGAAAAGAGGATGAGGCATACGCCGAATGACGAAGGTATATTGGTCAGACAAGTCGACGAGGCGCTTGTCAATCCGAGCTATATTGGTGTTGAAGATTGAAAATGAGCAAAGCTAGGCATGCAGAGCTTTGTGACAGAGAGGGCTGTGGCAATGAGGCTAATGGCCTTCTGTTATATTTATATTTAAAGTTCAGCAAAAGATTTTGAATTATAACCACTCGAAATGTGATATAGCACCCAACCCATCAAAACATTGATCGACAAGTGCAAGGTTGAAGGCTCCTAGTCCAGATGGCTATATTGGCCTCTTCTTCAAATCTTGCTGGACCATGATCAAGATGGATCTCTTTAGAGCAATAAAAGGTTTTTTTCAATCTTAATTCAGAGCATTTGGATGACCTAAACTCGGTCTTCATTTTCTTTCTACCAAAAAATGAGCAGGCCACTGCAACAGATAAATTTAGGCCAATCAGTCTCATTCATAGCTTTGCCAAGATTATATCCAAGATCCTTGCAAACAGGTTAGGACCACAACTCCCTGAGTTGATCTCTTCAAATCAAAGTGCTTTTGTTAAAAGGAGGGCCATCTATGAAAATTTTCTGTACATTCAAAACTTGGTCAAGAGGTTTCATAGGACCAAGAAACCAACTCTAATGCTTAAGCTTGACATAACCAAAGCCTTTGATTCTGTCAATTGGCAGTATCTTCTAGAAACTCTTGAAGCTTTCGGCTTTGGGTCAAGGTGGAGAGAATGGATTTGTGCCTTGTTTAGATCATCCTCCTCCTAGATTCTCCTAAATGGTAAACCGGGCCAGAGCATTCAGCATCCTAGGGGAGTGAGACAGGGAGGTCCCCTTTCACCGATGCTATTCATATTGGCAATGGAGCCACTCAATTATATTTTAAAAAAGGCTGAGGAGATGAATGTCCTCTCACACCTCCCAGCTGACCCTTTTGGTTTCAGGGTTTTTTTTTATATGCAGATGACGTTGCTCTTTTCATCAAACCCACAAACCAGGATCTTGCAAACCTCAGATCACTTCTTGACTTTTTTTGGGATGATCTCAGGCCTATCCAACAATGTTCATAAAACACAAATCCTGCCGATTGCTTGCGCAAATATTGATGTACCTGCCATCACCCAAGATTTTCCTGGAACCTTGGCTTCTTTTCCAACCTATTATTTGGGTCTTCCTTTACATCTTCGCAAGCTAAGGAAAATTGATTATATTCCTCTCTTGGAAAAAATTGGAGCAAAGATTCCAGGATGGAAGGGAAGATTTTACTCTTCGGCTAGAAGAGAAGCGCCGGTGAAATCTGTACTGATCTCTATGCCCATTTCATTACTTGACTGCTCTGCCTGCCCCTAAATGGGTCATAAAAAAATCGATAAGATGCGAAGGGCTTTTCTTTGGAAAGGTGAAGAACCTGAAAATGTAAAGCCAGGGGCTAGCCTGGTTAATTGGAAAGTAGTCTACAGGCCAGAGGAAATTTGGGGGGGGGGTGTGGCTTGGAGTTATTGACCTAGAAAGATTTGCTTCGGCATTGAGAATAAGATGGCTGTGGATGAGATGGCATGATCAATCTAGGCCATGGGACAAGATGGAATTGCCATGCACTGAAAAGGACATTCAAGCATGCACTCAGATTCACATGGGAGATGGAAGGAGAACAATCTTTTGGAAAGACAACTGGCTCAATGGATTGCGTACAAAGGACATAGCACCAAACCTCTTTAAGCTGGCAAAGAGGAAGAATCGAAATGTTGGCACTGAGCTCACAAATGATGGATGGATTCACTCTCTCAGACAAATTTCAAATTTTGAAGAGATCCACGAGCTCATCCAACTAGGAGGACTCCTGAGCCAAGTTACTTTGCTAAATGGAACGGAAGACACAATTTCATGGAAAAGAAATAACGCGGCCATATATTCGGCTAAAAGTGCCTATCTCTTTCAATTCATAGGATCACAGCCAAACAATGTTTTCCTTTTGAATTGAGAGGCGTCAGCTCTTCCAAAACAAAAATTCTTAGGCTGGCTCATTCTACATCACAAAGTTCTAACAGCTGAAAACATGCTAATTCGGCATTGGGAGTGTGACTAGATTTGCCCTCTTTGTAGAGGAGCTTTTGAAGACACTGACCACTTGTTTCAATAATGTGATTTCTTTAAAGAAACGTGGAATCTTGTCACTGCTGCCCAAGGAATTCAAAATATCCAGACTTACTGCTCCATAACAGAATGGATGAGGTGTATCTTGCAGAATGAAAGCAAGACGGAAGCAAAGAGAAAGGCGGGAGCTCTAGTGAAGACGTGGTAACATATTTGGCTCCAAAGGAATGCAAAGATCTTCAGAGGAGAAGAACCAGATGTGCGAAGGACATCTGGTTCCAAATATGTTGTCACCAGATCATCCAAGATATTCAGGAAAGCAGCTTTGCTTCCAACCGCCATGATCGTAGTCTTTCTCTTTTCGCACCAGGCTTTAAGGTCTTGGTCTCTATATAAGTTGTATCTCGCTTTGATCGTATAATCACCAACATGTAAACCGTAATTTTCTTTTCCTCTAATATATTCGGCAATACTCTTGCCGCTTTCCTTAAAAAAAAGACAAGTGCAAGGTTATATATTGGGAGATGAGTTAACTTACTACAACTCTGGCAGTGAGACTATCGAGCCCGGTGCCGCCTGAAGCAAAGCTGACACCAGTAGCAAGCTGATCAATGGTGTAGGTGGAGTCGAGATAGGCCGGCACAGAGGACGGCAGCCCCAGCGCCTCCGACACGAAGTCGGTGACAAGGCGGCCATTGGAGAAGCGGCCGGTGGCGACGCCGCCGTCGAAGTCGCGACCATAAGGCGGGAAATTGCCCTTGGCGACGGTGAGGATGTAGTTGTTGTTGCCGGCGTCGACCGTCGAGTCCCCGAACACGATGATCGCCGGGACCTCGCTGGCAGTGGCTGCGCTGCACGATAGCAAGGCAATTAGGAGGACCCAGCAGTAGCCTAATTGCTGTGAGGTCATCTTAGTTAGTTGTTGTCACTGATTTGCATTAGTCATCAGAGGGACACTGCATATTTATATAGTGGTTGGATGCCTGCGTTTGCATTGAAGGGACGTGAAAGCTGATATGAAATCAATCACCAAATCATCAGTACATAAAAAGATAACGCCCTAATAGTTAGGATGTACGCACTGTAGCTAGTACGATTGTTGTTGTTACATCATGCAATAAATTTAAGTCTAGATGAAGAAGAGAATTAAGCAAGGAAGTAAACTTTGTTTTTCGTGGAGGATGCAAATGAAAATTAACATTCATACGTACATGTTAGGTCTCTTTTCTGTACAGATTTCTGTCGTTGTAGGCGGTGTACTCTGCTCCGCTTGACAAGAATGGGCAACGCTCCTGAGAGTGAGAGCTCAGCTAAGCTTCTCTTCACTCTCCTTGAACTAATTTTCTGGCTTCCAGCTCAATTCAATTAAATTTCTGGTTGCATTTAAGTCCTACCTCCGTCCCATATTACTTGTCTTTTTGAGTTTTTTTTTATCAATGTTTGATTATTCGTCTTATTCAAAAAATTTTGGAATTATTATTTATTTTGTTTATCATTTGCTTTATTATCATTTGGTTAGCTGCTAAGCTAGCATGATTTTCATGATTTCCAGCATCCGCTTCAGTCATATCTCAATCCGGACAATTGATGACAGTCCGGACGTATTTTTTATTGTCTGTGGGACATGTGTATGAAAGTAGTGCTGCTTTGAAGTTTGAACTCAACCTAGCAGAGTAGCAGAAGATGTGATGCTAGGGATTCGAAGAACCATCTCAGTTCACTGAATTTTACGCTACACCCTATACTCCCTTTGTCCTACGGATTTTAAATTTTTACTTGCAACGTTTGACCACTCGTCTTATTCAAATTTTTTTTACAAATATAAAAAACGAAAAGTTGTGCCTAAAATACTGTAGATAATAAAGTAAGTCACAAATAAAATAAATAATAATTTCAAATTGAATAAGACGAGTGGTCAAATACTGTAAACAAAAACTCAAAATCCCTTATATTATATTATGAGACGGAGGGAGTAATACGTTTGTGAGTTCTCAAAAAAAAGAGAATTTAATCTATATATTAGATCTATAAACATGACTAGGGGTGGGAATGGTAAAGAAATATTCCGGTCATGGCCGATACCATTTCTGCAAAAACAAATATAATAATAATTTCTTCACCAACTGTTACCATTTCTAAAATTTATTTATTTTTTCAATTTCTGTCCCTGTCACATTCAAGTTGGCCCAAAATAGTTAAAACTCACAAAAATGAATATTTTCCGACCGTTTCTGATAGTTCCTGTAAAAGTATTCCACCGTTTCAGGTTATAAGATTTTCTAGCATTGACCATATTCACATAGATATTAATGAAGGGCTATAACTGACCGAGGTTGAACTATTTCCCGGGGTATGAACCCTCATTGGCGTACTAAGCTCTTCTTTTCTTAACCTATGTATCCCAACAAACTTCTTGGAAATGAACGAATGTGTTGCACCGGAATCGAAATGTACTGTAGCAGGGATCGAGTTCACAGGAAACGTACCCAGTACGACCTCTGGTGCTGCATGGTTGACGCGGGCTTGAACAAACCTTGGCCCAGCACGCCTCGGCTTTGGGCACTTGTCAGCAAAGTGGCCATGCTCGCCATAGTTGTAGCAGGACCCTGGCTTTGCTCCGGTCTCCTTCTTGGCTTGAGTTGGTGGAGCTGGCTGTGCGGGTGCCATTGGCGGGCGCGGAGTCGCACTGCGGTTGGGCTGCCCTCCCTAGTGGTTCTGACTGCCACTGGTGCCCTGGTGGAAGTTGCCGGAAGGGTAGGGGCGGTGTTGTCGGACAATCATGGTGGTGGGTCCACCCTGCTGTCCGGGAGTGAAGCGCGGCCTCTGGTGACTTCCCTGATGTGCCCTGAACTGTGCAGCCTTCCTCTTCCTGTCCATCTTGTTGCGCTGATCCTCCTGGCGGATTGCCTTGTCTACCAGCTTCTCGAAGTCAGCGTAGTCCCCAGAGATTAGCTGGTTGGTCAGCTCATCATCTAGGCCTGCTAGGAACTTCTCCTGCTTCTCTGCGTTGGTGCAGACATCCTCCGATACGTATCGCGCTAGGCGATTGAACTCATGCAGGTACTCAGTCACTGTCCTGTTGCCCCGGTTGAGTGCCCGGAATTCTCTCTTCTTCTGTGCGACGACCCCGTCTGGCACCTGCGCCTTCCTGAAGCTGCGACAGAACTCCGCCCACGTGACTTCTGTGCTTGGTGGATGGGTAGCCAGGTGGTTGTCCCACCAAGCTGATGCGGGACCCTGGAGCTGGTGTGTGGCAAAGGCAACCTTCTCCTGATCATTGCACTGCAGAAGGTTGAGTTTCTTCTCTGTGGCATGGAGCCAGTCATTTGCCTCCATGGGGTTGGTGGTGCTAGAGAAGGTGTGTGGCCTGACGCGTAGAAACTCTGGCAGCTTGGACTGAGGGGGAGGGGGACCAAACTGCTGCAGCTCAGCCTGCTGCTGCATCCTCTAGTGCATCTGCTGCATCATGGCTGCCATCATCTGGGTCTGATGGGCCATTACTTGAGCAAGCGTCGGATTCTCGGGGAGCGGTGGCGGACCATTGCTAGAGGCGCTGTTGGGGTGCCCACCATCGGCGCGTTCTTCACTGCTACTGCCCTCACCTACTGCACGACTGCCATTCCTGGTGTTGACCATCTGAAGGAAGAACAGACGGAGAGGATGGAAAAGAAGAAAAACAGATGCTCAGGGACTAAGCTTTATTATATAGGATTTTAAACTGCAATTGTTTTGATCTGAATTAAAATACTTAAGGTACAAGCAAATCCTTATTAAGACAGCCATATCATAGGCACATGATATCGACCGTCAACTGACCCACAAGCGAACAAACCTAAACACACAAACTAACAGACAATTACTAAGCAGTCGATAGGCTAAGGGAAAGCGAGCCTAATGCTCGGAACGGCTCCTGCGGTCGGTGGAGTCGAAGGCGTCGTCCTGCTCGTCGCCTGGTCCATCTAAGCGGCTCCTGGAGTACTCTGGCTGGAAGGTGTCGCCACTGCCTACCTCAGAGCTGGAACTACTGATGATCACACGACCACCACTGGGAGAAGCTAGCAGGCATCCTCCACTGCCACCTGCTGGACCCCTGTAAGCTGAAGCTGGCATGAAGGAGAGGGCAGACGCTGGAGCTGGCACCGGAGCAGGAGCTGGGGTTGGCGCTGGAGCTGCGGGAGGTGCTGGAGGTGGAGGCGGCGGTGGGTTCCTGGGCGCAAGCTAGATGCGCACGGGAGCTATGGTCGACTTCCTCAGCATGGTGTGGATACGGACTCCTCCTGGCGGTGGACGTCCCTGAAGCCTGGCAACCTCCTTGAGGCGAGCATTCTCATCCTGCAACACGGCGATCCTCACTAGCTTCTGATCGTTGAGCCTCTTGGTCGCCTTGTGGAGCGTGCAGCTTGTCGTAGCCTTCCATCACCTCACTCATGTGGCCGAAGGTGACGTCGTTCTCTCCCCAAGCTGACTTGAAGGTACTGGTGTTGGAGCTGGAACCGCGGCGAGGGTGGAAGCGGTAGGCAGTGGTGTTCAGGGTTTCGTCGTGCAGCTCCCTCAAATGGGCCATCATCTTGAGGGCGGCCTCCTCACAAGCATGCTCGAATGTGCCCCCGCAGGCTGTCACCTCCATGTTGGGCAGGTAGGAGGGATGCCGTGAAGCTCCAAGCGGACCTGGTGTGGGAACTCGCCATTGAGAGGGTGGATGCTAGTGTACTGCGGCTCCCTTGGAAAACCGATCACAAACGCCATGCGGGATAGCTCTGCGACGAATCCTCCCATAGTCTGACCTTGGTGCGTTAGGGGACAGCCGGCCATCTATAGAAGACAAAGGGTGGAGAATCAATTCATGCTCAAATCCAATTATAAAATAAACGGTAAAGGACTCAAATAAAATAAGCGAATAAGAGCGGAATTTTGTGCATAGATCGTTTTTGCACGAGAGCGAATAAATAAGACTGACAAACATAGCAATAAAGTAATGAGGAATTAGATACATAATAATAATAACAATAAGAGCATAAATAACTTGCAACCCATATTCCTTAGTTAGGACCTAATGCATACCTCCCATTAAATCCCGACTGACTGTCAAATAAGTCCCAAATAATTTTACTAAAACCCTAGACTAACCTTATTTGAGAAAATTTCAATTGAACGAGCAATCAAAATTTTTCTCCCATGAACCAAAGAAACAAATCCAACTTTTCCCAAAACAAATACAATTTGCAAAGACCATATGCAAATGAAAAAGATTCGGAGGGCTCTTAGGGTTTCCATTTGGCTTGTCCTACGGTCAAGGTCGGCTCTGATACAAACTTGTCACGCCCAGAAATTCCCAAAGAGAATTCCAAGCAGAATGTGCATTAAAACCCCTGTCCAGGACCAGCCAGGGTACACAAACGACAAAGTTGACATACAGATCCACATCTTACAAACATTATAAAGTCTTACATAAATGCAACGGAAATTAAAAGATAACTGGAGCTAAGCCTTAACTTGGATAGCAGCGGGAACACCACTCCACAGGCATTCCTCGACGGTACGGATGAAGCCTACTCCTCGGAGAAATTACCATCGGACGCATACTCGAACTCTGAGGGTTGGGAGATAGAGCAAGACTGGGTACTACCCACTGTACTCAGCAAGTCATACCGGAACGGAGGGTATGATGCAATATATAACCAAAGTAAGGCTGAAGAGGATCATTTGCATAAAGCTAGCATTTGTAAACAGTAGTTGAAAACAATAAAACAATTGTAATAATTAATCAATATTAATCATCCACTGTCCAACGCTACACCACGTTGCAACAGGCCCAACCAACCACCTGAACTAACCAATTCCATTAGACTAAGCTAGGGTGAGACTAATCACGGTGAATCTAGTTGACCGCCCGTAACCGCGGGCACGGCTATTCGAATAGTTTTACTCTGATCAGAGGTGTACAACTG